TAGCACGAGTTTTGAAAAACATTCAGATTAATATTTAGCACTATATTAAAAATTAAATATGTTAAAACCGTAACATATTTTAATTTTAATAAATAATGTTTCAAATGATATTTGGTTTAGCTTATGACTAAAGTGAATCGTTTTTTTTATAGTTCCTTTCCTTACTGCTTTATTTCATTTCACTAATCGGGTATTTAAAAATCCAACTATTTATAATATTTTCAATATATGTACATATGAAAATGCGTTTAAAGACTATACTGTAGAAATTTTATATAAATTCACATTATAGTTACATATGTATATGTTAATCGTGGAACTGATTTTAAAATATGTTTGTAATGTAAATTTAAAATTAATATAAAATTAAGAAAATATTTTTTTTTTTAATTTAATATACATACATATAGCTAAGTAAGTATGTATATTAAGTTTACATGTAAGTATTATGTTCAATATTTTTTTTTGCTTACTTTCTAAAAAATATCACAAACATTCATTTAACAAAATTATATAAAACTTGTGCTTAAAAAATTTAAAATACACCATTGGCCAAGAAAATTTATCAAATTTCGAGTAAGTCAATTACTTGTTATTGATTTTTATTTTACATACGTTTGTTCTACTTTATATTTTAAAATGAATGTTGAAGTTATTTCGGTATTGTTATAAGTTTTTTAATAATTAAATAAAACTGGAAACATATTTACTTTTATATAAACGTGGAAACTAATGCCATATACATATGAATGTATATCAAAAAGGCCATGAGAGAGTTAATCAAAAATAATATCCAAATTTATTTGAAATATAGCCTGTAATATTTTTCACTCTGTTATTCACCCATATTCTGGTAGTCGTGTCGCTTACAAATATCGCATGAAGTGATGTTATAACGCCTCTGTATTATTTTAGTAGTCGTAGACGTGATAATTAAAAGTGGTACCAATCTTGACGTGCTGGCAGATATCAAAATTATCACGTGTGCTCTTTCTGTAAAACTTTTCATACGTGATAGTCATTTTTTATCACCGCAATATTTGCACTCGGTGGACCATCACGTCAGAGCTTTCCTAGGTTAAATGTATAAATAAAATGGAAAAATCGGCAAATTAAGTAATAACAAAAATTATTTAATTAGTATTGTAGTAAAAATTTTACTCTACTAATTTTTATATTGATAATTGACGATTTTATATTTTAAAAAACAAAAAAGATAACAATTTGAATTTCTAATAAAATTAATGGTAGATAATGTTGATATAGCCGAAGGTTTTTCAGGATACTCAAACAAGCAATAGCAGGTTATCTTCAAGTTTCTTAAGTAAAAGTTCGAAAATTTTTCTTCAAAATTTTAGTGTACTTTGGATTTTTTTAATTTTTATTAATTGTGGCTGCCCATGTAATGCCAGCCGCAACCCGCCGGATCCTTCACCAAAGGTGTGTGGGTCGAATTGTACTTAAGAAATTTAAAAAAATTTTCGAAGGTTTTATTTTAATGTGGATGATTATCTGAACATTTAACGCTCAATTTAAAAAAATCGGATTCAAATTAAAAATGCATTTTTAAATGCCGGACTTGAGACACATGCTTTCACGCACCAGGTCATCAGACTTATATTTTTCTATACTTTCCTACCATGAAGAAAATTCGATATACAAAATTTTATAGTATTCATAAGTAGTAAAGTAATTGAAGTCTAATTAGACTGAGTCATTAAAAATATCAAGAAGTCTTACTGATGAATTTTTGTGAAGGTTTCTCAGAATAAAAATAATTTTAATTTGTAAAGTAATTTCAGTTAATTTTGTCTTTAAGGTTGAATGTTGTTGTTATTTCGGTCGAACTTAAGAAAATTTAATGGCCTAGGATGTATTTCATAAGCTTACATTCTGTTAATTATTTGTTACATTCTTTGTAAATTAAGACTTTTTAAAAGGTACTTCAATGTTTTTTTAATTGTATTTTTTTTCTTATAACACTTTTGCTTAAAAATATTTACTTTTCATTTTTTGCATATTCATTATGCAAAAATTATTATTTTAATTATTATCATAATTATATTATGATATAAGAATAAAGAATTTAATTACATTGTTGAGATTTAAAAAATGAATAAATTACATACATAATTAGTTATTACTTATGTATTATTTACATAGATATTAATATTAAAATAAAATTCTTAGTTGTTTAACAATAAGTATTTTGACATTTTACATAATATTATAGCACATACATATACATAATGTGAAAAATTAATATAAAAAAATTAAGCAATAGGAGCATTTTATTCACTTGATGAATGATATTTTTAATTTTAGACTAAAAATATATTAATTTGTTTGAATATTAACCTAAAACCCACCAAAAAATTTAAATAGAGAAAAAAATAAAGCTTTATCAATCATCCTTTCAAATGAAATTATTTTAATTCTCAAATACATATGTACATATCCATAAATGTCGATACCTATAATATGTACGAGTTATGACCACATTATTTAAAGTTATCTATTATATTCATGTATATATAGAACGCAGAAAAGTATATGAATCTATATATGTACTAAATATTAAATTTAAAACACATGTTTGTATTGTAAAATTACTATTTAGTATATAGAGGATTTGTGCTATTTAGTACAAATTTTTATAAGCTTTACAACGTATAAATGAAAAAAATAAATTTCGGATTATAAATTTATTTTGTTTTTAAAGTATTTAAAACGAAAATTTAAAAATATAATATAGACCTAAAAGAAAAGCATTTAATTTAGTTACATAATACATACATATACGTAAGAAATTAAAATTTCTCTTAAAATAATTAATATCAGTTTGTCGACAGTCTAAAAATAAAGCATAGAAGATAAATTCCACGCACATTGAATTTTTAAAAATTGATTTTTTTAATGAAATTTGTTCTCTTATAATAATACATATTCCGTTTTGACCTAATTAAGTAATATACCCTGTAATTGCCTTACATTCGTAATAGTGATTGTTTTTATTAATGAGAGATACATATATCTTTCAGGCCTCCAAGCTCAGAAGATAAATAAAAAATAATTTTTAATGTTAGAATTTAGAAGTTATTTGTGTGCAGAAAAGTTTGTATGTAATATTTTTAATTTTGGTAATTCTGCATATTATTTGAATATTGAAATTGAAAAAAAAGGATTGGTTAATTCGCTAGAAAAATGCATTTTTAAAAATTTAAGCGTATTAGAAAAAATAAAATGGTGTAGCTAATTAGAATATTTCTAGATGCCTTTCGCAAAAAAAAAACTATGATGTAATGAAACTAGGGCATGACTGTCTATGATATCATGCACTAGCCTTATGCTCCTTCTAGGAGTGAAGAAGAAAAAAAAAAGATGGCTTTCGAAATCATACTACTAAATAAAATGGGAATACTTAAAAAAAAGAACAAATACATATATGCTTTAATTCGGAATAAATTTTATAAATTCCGAAAATGATTTGGTGACCTGACGAATAAATGAAATGTTCGCTATTAGTTTCAATAGTAAAGATTATTCTACATATTTCATATTTTTAGTTTTATTTACAAAGCTTTTTTTTTCTTGAAATTTCAAAATGACGTTATTTTCCATTTATACATAAAACAAAATCATGTAGGTAATTATGTATGTAATCGTTATCTTAACAAATTTTTTTTAATTATGTTGAGTTCGCTGAAATTATTGAAAATAATTTTGCTTTTTTAGTTAAGTTTAGTATAAGTTTTAAAGAAATAGAACAACTTTTAGAATAGTTAACTTTTTATTTCGCTATTGTAACTTTTTTATACTTAGAGATACGAAAAACAAATTAAAATATCAAATTAAAAAGTAAAAGCTCTTAATGAAAATATCGAAATTTTTTACGAAATAAAAATTATTAGTTTCAGCATATTTATAATACGTTACAATTTATAAGCGACCAATCCTATAGGAAACGATTTAAGCAAGTGTTGTAAGTTGTACTTTATAAGTCGCTAAAAAATAGCTTTCAAAAAATTTTTTGCTTGATTTGAGACACTTTCAAATAGAAGATGTGAATTTTCATTTGCAGGAATATTTTACCATAATTTTATTCTAGGTATGAAATTAATAAATTTTAGCATAACTTAGCTTGTACTACAAAAAATAATCATTCATAATATTAGCAGTTAATTGTAATCTATAGCATTATCATAATTATATAATTGTGAAAAAACATTAAATCAAGTTTTAAATAATGTTTCAATTTTATTAAATTGTATTTGAACTCTAAACGAAAATAATAAATATTGTACGAACTATTTTCTTTGAAATAAGAGATATTTTAAATTTGTACAAAAAATTTTTAATATTAATTATAAGTAATATAATTGTTATAGTCATTTAAGTTTTATAAAAGAATTCGGTGTTAAAAATTTTATTTTTTATACATATTTATTTTATAAATTTTATATTGAAATTTTTTGAAAATGTGCAAACTAGCAATATTAAACTTTTATTATTTTTTTAATTATTTTATAAAACTTATAATTTTTGATTTTATTTTGTAAATTTTTTTATTTTAAATTTTCTTATATAATATGAATATATCACAAAAATTACAAGCAACTTTTCTTTTTTATACAATGAAATTTATTCAAACTTAATTAATTTATTATAAAAATTTGCAAGCAAATCAATTTAGTTATTAATAAACGGTATAAAAACATGTATTAACAATTTATAATGGTTTTGGTTTTCATAATGTATAACATTAATATATTAAAAACAATTACAGTAATTGTAACGATAGTAAAAATTAAATATTTTTTTAATATGTATATATACATATTAATATATAATTTTATTAATAGTTAAATAATATTTTTGACCATTGAATTTGTCATTACACATTTGAATTTTATTAAGTGATTTTTAAAAAAATTTAAACATATATTGTAATTTTGATTTTTCTTTAATTAAATATTACATGTATTAATTTCTTTCTCGTATTCGTTTTAATTCGATCTAATTTTTTTTACTTGTTACAATTTTAGAGTTTTAAGTATGCTATTTTTGATATTATTTTGAAAAAGTTAATTGTATACAAATAGATTAAGAATAATTTTTTGCATATAAATATACAATGTCTAAAATAATATGTGCCACCGGTTTTTAATAGCTTTTAAAATTATTTTATATTTAACTTGAAAATTTTTATATTTAAAGTTTTGATATAAAATATAAATACTTTTATATTTCAATAAAATAGCAATAAAATTTTCCTTGAAAGTTTCTGTCTTGCAATTTTAACTGAAAATACGTTTTTTTAAATGTTTTTATAACTGTGACGTTTTTTGAAATTTTTTATTCATTTTGTAACTTTAATTTATGTAAATTTGCTAATACAAGAACTGAAGTAAATACTGGCCGCCAATAATTCTTTAGTTTAAGTAATGAAATTTTATGAGCGTTTAAGATAAAGTATTTTAACAACAATATACAAAAATATTAATAATTTTTCGGTATATTAACTTTAAATCAAATTTTTTAAATATGGCTATTGTATTTTACAAGTGAATAAATATAATATATTTATATACTTAATAATTTTTTAACTTCGTACATTTGGATATTAGGGCTTAATAATTCTATATTATTCTATTTATTTCAAGGATTTTTACAGAGGGTTTAGCATAAGGTGGCAAATTATTTCAGGGATATTCCTTCGATTAATTTCCCGCAAAAAAATAAAAGAGGAGGGTGGATGCAGATATACTCGTTTTAGAGCTACAGTACGTTGAAAAAAGTACCAGATTTTTTTTTTTTTAAAAACTCAATATTGCCCAAAAATTTGTGTTATTTTCTTTTTTTTCAATGCGCTACAATGAGAGCTAAAAGGTAACCCATATAGTATTTTTCTCTAAGCATTTTTCGTATGGTTTTAAAACGGATTTAACACGTTTTACTGACAAAATTATGAGGGATAGAGGAAAATGTTATATTGATTAACTTTTAGCTTTTATTGTAGCACATCGAAGAACAAAAACAAAAATGTTACAAATTTTTGACAAATTTCGAGTTTAGAAAAGAAAACAAAAATTCTAACTTTGAAGAACTTTATCTTGAAATTTATGGCTCAAATATAATTGATTTGAAGATCGAAAGAAAAGAGCAATCTTATCTGTAATCTTATCTGAGTTATCAAAACAAGACTTCCATAGTTACTCTGTAACGTATTGTTCCGAAGTTGTAAGCTTTTATTTACATGCAGGACAAAGCTGGATTTTTTTTCTGGCTGTAGCTCGGAAACAAGTATATCTTAATCATGCTGAAATTATTTGCTATCTTATGCAAACACTCTGTACATTGTTATTTTTTTAATATTAACCGAGATCATCTTTGCTATGCTTTCTATAACTTCTTATTCTAAATTTATTGAGTTTGATATTCTCAGTGCTTGTTTTAAAATAATTAGAAACGTTCTTTATAGATTTATTTACAATTTGAGGGTATGGTATATGTTGATGTGATACCGAAATGTTATAAAGTGACTTGTCGCTATCGATGGACTAGGAAGGTTTTTGTTTACGTTTCATATTTAAGCGTTGTGAGTCAGTTGTGTTTGATGGAAGTTCACGGTAATGAATCTAAAAATATAAATTACAATTTAAATAAATTTTGTCAAGTTAATTAAAATTATAGTGTTGAAAATAAATTTGAGTATATGTTCAACGTGAATTCAAAACCTTAATAATGTTATTAGTCTTGTATTTTGAGAATATATTTTAAAAAATTCCACTTTTTGATTCGAAAATCAACTTCATTGAAAAAATTCTATATATGATGTATTCAAATATTCTATTTATTATAATTGAAGATTAACAAATTAAACTTTGTGTGCCTTTTTTTGGACAAAATATTATTTTTTAATTTATCTTTTTTGATACGGAATGATTCTGAAAAACCTTAATAACACAAAATTGTGTCTTCTGCAAAGGATTTTGATATTATTTATGACCTACAAGACATAATAAATATTTATTCTTTTTACTTACATTATAGCAAGTAATAAAAAAATTCAAAGTTAAATATATTTTTTAAACATTCTCTTATAGTGTTGTTAAAAACTTATTTTCTAATAAACTTACGATTTCAATATCATCTGGTACTCTTGAAAGGAAGTCCAAAACCTCATTATTTGGAACAATATTTGGCCTTATTATTCGTCGACCAAATTTATACAGACCCCATATTAGTAATAAAATTCGTATTGGTATAAAATGTAAAACTATTGATACAGCTACTAAGGATATACATGCTAACCAGGTTAATTCTGGGACGGCAAAATAAAATGTACTAAAATTTTAAAAACTTATTAAATACTACATTATAAAAGATAATTATAAAATTTAAAACAAAATATGAAACTAAGGAATAAATATCATTATATTTAAAAAAAAGTTTAAGAAATTTTTGACAAAACAAAATTTACAATTGAATTTAAAACTTTATTACAGCTGCTGGAAACCTACTGCAGAAAGGAAGCACAGAATATTTTTTCTCTATTCCATGTGGCAGCCATTGAAAATGCTTGTTTTTTCCTAAAAGACTTTTAGTAAAAAAACAAACAAGTTTTTAAACTTTTAGTTTTTTAAAACTATGAATGTTGCTTCATTACAACGTTGCTTCATTTCTCCAAACAAGAAGTAAGGAGTACGGTAAATTTCTAGTTTCTGTCACCAAACACTTATTCAAAAAATATGATGAATTTTATAGTTATAAAATCGTTACTTTAATTCTTACTTTTTCGTTCGTTCACCAACGGAAGCTAAATATCCGATTGTGTTTTGTACACTTTGTGATACTTCTTGTATTGCGTGTAATTTTTCTTTAATTGATCTCTTCTCACCACCCTTCTCCTTATCATCGTCATCATCATCATCAACTATGAATGCTTCATCATAGTCAAAACAATCTCGGTTTGTTCCAGTTAACCAGCGTATAAACCAATTTCTACGTTATAGTAAATTAAAATTTATGATTATTATGCTATTTATGCATTAAAATTATGATATTTATGCATTTAACACAAATTAAAATTTTTATTCATGATTTGAATTGAACAAGTTTCAACACGGAATTTTGTTTCGTTGAACTGTTTTATAAAATATGCATACATTTAGGTGAATGTTAATTGATTCGTGTTATAAGTGTAGTATATTTAACCCGCTCTTTTAATAATTTTTCTGTGCGGCTCAAGATATAAATTTCAATAACATCATTTGAATTAAATTATTAAAAATATTTTAATAATTTAATATTTTGGCCACCATTTTTTTTAATTTCTTTTTAAAATGTAAAAAAAGTTTAAATTCAATAATTATATCGATAAATACATATATCATCTTTTAAATTGACCGAATCTTTTTTATTAATTCATATCTTCACACTTTATACAGAGTATTTAAGTACAAATTGCTTTTGCGAAAAAAATAATTAATGGAATATAAAATTTCAACGATTTTAATACCATACAACAACCCCAATAATATTTTTATATCTGCAAAAGCTCCATATTAAAGCTTTAATAGTTTTTGAGATATAGTCAATTAACGTTTAAAGTTGTAAGACAGCTATTCCAACTACTACCTCAATCACATCCAATTTGAATAGGATTCTGACATTTGCTATTGTGAATCATTTCTGAAAATTTGGTGAGTTTAGCGAAGTTAGATTTTGTGTTATCATTGGGATGGATGAACAAACGGACAGATAATGTCTGTCATGATCATCTCAGAGCTTTATTTTTTATTGCTACAAACGGTAAGGCCAATTTATAATAACCTTCGAACAAACGATCATACGTGTATGAAGGAAAGCAGAATGAAATGAATAAAACGCTTGTCAATGAATGAAATGTGAATGAAGTTTTCCGTATAATAATAAGAATAACAATTTCAAAATACAAGAAAAAATGAACTTACTTAAGTATTAGACAGACCAATATTGCTGGAATTGTATCCAAAGTACCATATAAACATAAAAGAACGTACATTATTAAAGCTATTAATGAACGAATAGGTGATTCCCATTCGAAACAGCTTCTGAAATATTTTTTATTTAATATTGATTTTAATACAAAGTTAATTAAATGAAGTCATCTTACTGAATATATCGAAATGCAGCCAAAACGTTCATTACTATTGTCTTAAAACGATTAAAATTTTGTAGGAATATTTGACGTTTAAATTTCTTATCTTGACTAATTAACTTTTCTTCTTTAGGCTGTATAACTTGTACCATAGCACGTATTGGATTCCATACCACATACATTTCTAAGAGAATCTGAAAAAATATAACACTGCTCTTTAATAAATTAACAAAAAAATATAAATTTCATTATATTATACATAGTATATTGATTACCCGAAAGAGGTTTCATTAAATTGAATTCGAAAGAAAATTTCGAAATTTATCTCCATAAACTACATGAAAGTTGAAAAAAATTTAATATTTGCATATACATTTAATATTATGTATATCCAGCGTTCCTATATAAAAAAAAATTAATGAACATTTTTATGATTTAAGCAAGAAAGATAATTATTTTCACATAGACTATATACTTTTTGATACAGAATAAATGATTAACTACATATTATTTAGCCAGATATATAATGTGAAGAAAGCATATGTATGTTTGTGTAATCGGCCACCTTATAAAAATTTTCTTTGTCTAAAAGCATGTTAATAAAATTTAACATGTTTGGCTCTATTTAACAAAAGCAAAATTTTTAATTACACACTAAAGGGGTTTTTAATACTTGTATACTTAGAAATATATTTATACAATTTTATTTTTAGGCTTAGATCATATTTCTAATACGTTAATTAATAAAATATAATAATGTAGAAAAATCTTTTGCTAGTTTAAAAAAACTTTTTCTCATGAAATAAATTATTTTCATTTACCTGAGGGTTATTGCCTTTAGCTCTTGCAACCATATCTTTATTTTTAAGAACATACCATCTTTTAGCACCATTTTTGATTTTTAATAGAGGTACTTCTACTTTTCCCAAAAATTCTACTTTGTGATCTCGATCTTCATCATAGACTGTAACTTCCAAAACCGATGTTATATCTTTAACATTGCTATGAAAGATAAAGTAAATTTTAATGAAAAAATTATGGTTACGAAAAAAACAGCAACATATTTACAATGTAAAAATTTTATTCCAATTTGGTGTTAAAGTTTTATATTCCGTTTGTGTTTGTAATCGAGCATTAGTTAATTCTAAAACGCAAAATGGATCCGACTTTCCCCCTAAATCAGCTGCAGCTAAACCATTTGCACCATAAACCTTAACAGTTAAATGTCCAACATCTCTAAGGTTTGTAAATGATCTTCGTATCTGATAACGTTCTTTTAAGTTCTGTTTTAATTCAGGACTTTCCTTATATGAAGTTAAGTCGCTAATAGTTTCTGATGCTGTTGTGCCACTTATAGTTAACATTAAAAGTACTTCCCCACAACAATCTTCGAAAGGTATCCATATGCTGTGTGTAGTTTCTCTTGCTCTATTAGATAAATCAAGAACAGCTCTACCGTAACAAATATTTTTATTCCATAGTTGTAGCTCAAGTATTTGATCTTCGTCAAATAAATGTAAGTCAAATTGCTCCAGCCACCTTTCGGACCATGTTGTTTTACTTTTATATTTTTCATTACCTAACCTACAATCATATGATTTATAATTTAATTTTTAATTGAGTAATTTACATTTTGTAATTAAGTGTAATATGTCATTAAATTATTAAGAAAGTGAAATTTTCAGTAAAAAGTAATGTATAATTATGTATGATATATTACGGTATTTTAATGAGGTAAAGGTTTTATTACATATATATTTGATAAATTAAATTCGTTTCCGTAGCTTGAAATAAGCTTGAAACAAAAACTTGGCTAACTACCGTTGTCTAAATAATTACCTAAATTTTAAGTGAGCTTCGTTTAGTTTACTTCCATCATCTTGTGTCGGCAGATCTCTAGCTTTTACTAAAACAATGGTTACTACAGAATTCCATATTTGTGATTTGAGCTTTTTTGATACTTCCGAAAGTCTTTGATGTTTTTGGTAATGCTAATTATTTTTAAATAAAATAAAAAAATTAATATCACAGTTTTACGAAATATTTTGAGTATTTTATTTTATTGAATACACATACATCAGTATGAATCAAATTTTAGTGTTACATTAAATAATAATATGTACATATGAGTAATTATATAATTATGTATGTTTTGTTATAAAAATACATTTTAATTGTAAAATTCAATTTTTTATTAAAAGCTGCCGCGTGAATTTTTTTTTCAATTCAGTACAAATTTTTGTGATGATGTAGTGTTTTTTTCAAATGATGCAAAATATTTTTATAATACTTTCTTTTAATCTTATCTTTTAAGCGTGTTCAAACTAACAAAATTTTAAAGCATTAAAAGACAAAGTATTCTGGTATAAAAACCTTTTCTAGATCAAATACAGTTTTTCCCGGATTTATATTCACTGGCTAAATTGAGTACAAAAATTAAATATAGTATATTATTATTGTATTATTCGTTTTTTAACATAATGCAATCCCTTGACTTAAAGGAATATGCATTTAAAACAAAAGAAAGAGTTAGTTATGTAAAAAACAAACTACGTATAATATTTAAATATGCTAAGTATATATTTTTGTAATAATATATGTACTAAAAATGATGATTTTTAATAAATCAAACCGAATAGCTTACCAATTCCTTGTCTTCTTGACTACGTGGCCATAAAGTTGCAGTTAAATGTATTTCACCTAAATCAATCTGTGGCCTGTCATCATCTTCTAATTTTATTGTTAATTCTTCACATTTTCCTAATTCTAAAATTGTTAAATCTATTTTTGCTGAACCCATAAAATCGTCTTGAAGTCCCCAATCATAATCAAAAACTTTAATAACAATTGGCATAAATGGATCTTCAATTGGTACAAAAAATACTTCATCCCATATTGGATTTAAATCCCGACTAATTGTTTTTGATTTATGTAATACCCGACCACCAATTTTAAATTTTACGTAGGGGTCACTAGTGCCACTTTTATCCATAGCAACTAAATTTGAACCATGCTTTAAATGAATTCGTAGTTGAAAAAATACATATTGACGTAACTGTGATTCATGTTTTCGTTTTTTCTCTTCTCCCTTGAAATTTTTAATAAACTTTAATACTTTCGTGATAAAAGATGTTTTGCATAAGCTGGTAAATAATTTTAGGGATGGCTATTTGAAAAATTTTCTTAAAAAAAATGGGATGGTGAAGGGGAAAAGGTTCAGATATACGCGTTTTCGAACTGCAGCTACACGTGTTTTTGAGGTACAGCATGTTGAAAAAAGGGTATTTCTTATAATGCTTATATTTTTTTATTTTTTATTTTTATTAATTGTGGCTGTAGATGTAATGTCAGCCGCAATTCGTCGGACCCTGCACCAAAGGTGTGTGGGTCGAGTTACAAAGTTTATCTAAGTATGGTGAGATTGCATGAAGTCAGTTGTTAACGTATAAAGCATGAATAGATGATGATATTGCGTGCTGCTATTGCTGATTTGTGATGTACATCAGATGTTGTTCCATAGGTTGCGTGCCTTCTGTCGCAGAACTTCTACCGGGGTGATATTGATATTCTTCCAGTTTAATCCGTAAAGTGATGTCCATGGTAGAACATAGTACATCCCAGGCCTTGTAATATTAACCCCGGAGTGGCGCTTCGTGTCACAACTTTTTTGTGTATTTGTTCTTAGTTGTTGTAATTTTCTTTGGCCGTTTGCCTCGATCATGATTTTGAGTTGTCGAGTAGAGTGTGTAAGGATGGCTGGTATGTGTGAAAAAGTTTGTGCCCTAATGGCCCTTCTGGCCTCCGTATCCGCTAGCTCGTTGCCGGTTATAATAACATGCCCGGGCAACCACGCCAGTCTGATGTGGCCTCTGCCTTCATACAACAAGGTTCTTATTTTGCGAGCCGTATTGGAGTGGTTATTTGTGTTTTTGATCTGCTTTAAGGCTGCTAAGTTGGCGGTCGATATTAAGGGATTGACAACTTAGTCTTTCTTTTCTGTTGTGTCTCATTTGTACATTTCACGGCTCGAAGTATCGCTTCACGCTCACCTTCAAATACTGATGTCGTTGGAGGTAAGTTGTAGCATTCTATGATGTTAGTTTTAGATTGCTAGGCCTACCTCCAGCTCGCTTTTAGATGCGTCGGTGTATATATTGTTATGGCACTGATGGCTTTCTTCCCTGTGCAGCTGAAGATAAGCGTTATTGATAGTGGTCGATTTGTTGTGTGTGGCTAGGGTGGTGTCAATATAATTTATATACACTTGAGCTGGTTCCTGGGCTTGATTGTTTGGTTCGAGCTCTACCTGCAGTGCTTTTAAGTTCTTAGTTGAAAGGACCAACGCGGCACCTTCTGGGTGTGTTTCATTTTCCAGTATTCCATGAACTATTCTGTGCCTCTCCCGCTGCCTCGTTTATTGATATCTTTAGCTTGTTCATATGACATTTTGCTGAAAACCCGTAGATAGGTAGATCATAGTCAATTCTCCCCATTATTAGTGCTCTGGCAATTTTATATGCAGTTTCGGGTGGTGGTCCAAAACGTCTTCTGCAAAGAAATTTTAGCAAGCCAATGACTCGTTTTAAGTTGGCATTGAGTTCTTCTATGTATTTGCTGTATTTATCGCTGCTTTGGAATGTAATTCCCAGGATCTTTATTTTTTCATAATAACCAATAAGCTTGCCTTCGTGCGTTAAATGTATGGACGGACAGCTTCTGCACATATGGACTGCTTCTGTTTTGGATGCGTCGAAGTTTCCCCCATTCGCTTTGGTTCAGCTGGTCATGATTTTGAGTGCCTCGTTGATGTTCAAACGTCTGGTTGTGCTGCTTCCTCTTGCAGCTAGTATTACGTTATCTGCGTACACTTGAGCAGTGATGCCCTTATTTTGTTCAATTCTACTGGAAGGGAGTTGATGTAGGCGTTAAAGAGATAGGTGGAAAGTGGTGAACCTTGGGGTGTGCCCCTCTTGATCTCCTGGACTGCTGATTTCAATGTATGCTGCTCTGTTTTGTAGCAGATTGCTTATGTAGCCCCACAGTCTTTTCTCCGTTCCGTGCTGCTCTGTTTTGTAGAAGATTGCTTATGTAGCCCAAAAGCCTTTTCTCCGTTCCCCATTTCTCTAAACTTTTGATTACAGATGCCGGTGGGATCTTATCAAATGCTTTTGGCAGATCACACGATATTATGCCTACATGTCCTTTTTCTTGGACTGCATCCTGAGCTATATAATCCAGTACTTGGAGAATGGTGGTGGCTCCTTTGCCTCTCCTGAAACCGTGTATTTTAGGTTTCAGGTGTCTTTCTATTATTGGCTTCTTAGCGCTCGATTTCTAAGCGATATAAAGCGATAATTTTGGGGTAGTAGAGGTTCTTGTCCCGGCTTGCGAAATGGGTACAGTTATGCTAATTTCCATGAAAGGGGAATGACGCCTGAGTTTATTATGTTGTCCGCTTGATATTTGTACCTGCTCAGGAAGACTGGTCCCGCGTTTATGAGCATTTTATATGTTATTCCATTTGGGCCTGGTGTTTTCCCTTTCGGCTTCCGCCATGCATGTAATATTTCGCTCGTGCCAATTATAATTGGGTCCGGTTCCTCCTGGGGTGCGGTAACCTTTACTGGTGGTACAGTGTGGGGGGGCTCCACTTCTACCAAATTTTCATATTCTGCAGAAATTTTGTCTAGTACTTTTGGCAGCTCTGTGTAGATTTGGCTGCCTTGCAGAGGATCATTCTTCCCGTGGGATTGCCTTTGTTTGTCTATCCAGTTAGCCCTGCCCTCCAAGAAGATCCTTTTAGCGCGTTTCTCTCGGTTGTTTTTAGCTGGTAAGTTGATCAAGATTCGATAGTGGTCGGCACCCTTGGAGTTGTTTATAGCGTGCCAGGTTAAAAGATCGGCTATTCTGTTGTGAGCTATAGTGATGTCGGGACATATAAACGATCCTCTGTTGCTGATAAAAGTGGATGATCCCTCATTTATCAGGCAAAGATCCTGTCTACTTTCTAACCAATCTTCTAACCAATCTTGTTTGTGTGGTCACCCCATTCTTGTTGTCTCCCAGCAGGAGATATGGCACAGAGGCGCTTTTGATGACTTCTTTTATGATTTTGAAGTTGATGGGACTTGTCGGATGCACGTAGATGTTAATTAACGTCACTTCTTTCGGGATGCCTGGCAGAAAGAGTTTTATGGCTATAATGTCTTCTTTTGCTTGTGTCGGTATGACCTTGAAGGAAAGGCTTTTATCCACAAGGAATCCGACCCCCCCACCATTTTGGTATTTTGTGGGATGCAAGACACAGTTGTAATTTTTATAGGATTGTCTGTGCTTCTTGGGATTCTTGCCCGTGTTCGTTTCTTGAAGACGTATAACTAGGGGTTCATGTTTCTGTATCAGAAGGTCTATATATGGTTGGATATTTCAAGCCTTTGGATGTTGTATTGGATTATTCCATGATTTTGGTGTGTGGTGTTGTTCTGTTTGGCGATCATTGGTGTAGAATTCATTTGGTATTTGTTTGATCTAGTTGTGGTTTTTATGTTTGCATAGCATTTTCGTTATTCGAGTCATCACTATCATCAAAAGGGTCACGTGTGTCTTTGCTGATTTTTTTGTTTTGAATTTTAGGGAGCATTTCTATGTTTATTTTTTTTAACTCTTTTACATGGGCCTTGGTGCTGGCTGTGATTGTTGGGGTTTTACTTTCGGAGATTTTTGTTTTTGCTATTCTTTGGGCGAAGACACTAGTTTCCAGGTTCTTTAGGCCCGATCTTGTGACACATTTTTTTGTTTTTTTGTCTTCTGTGCATGCAAGTATTTCTGTAGCGTCAGATGATTTTGCTGTGTTTGGTGTGTAATCGTGTTTGTTTAGTGATTCCGTGGCGGCAGAGGTTGGTTGCTGATTGGTGTGTGTTGCTTGTGAATTGCTTGTTGGTTTGTTTAAATGTGTAGTGGGTAATGTTGTTGGTTGTATGTTTGCATTGGTTGGCTGTATGGGTTGGTTATTCATAACGCTTAAGCTTGCGCTTTTTTTGGCGGTTATGTTTTCTGTGGTATTATTATTTTTGTTGCTTGGTGTGTGTATTATTTTTATTGTCGTCGTTTGTGTTGTTGGGTTGCTGTTAATTTTGTTTGCTTTTTGTGTGGAAATTTGTGCAAAGGTGATGTTTGCGTCTATGGCCATCGGCATGTGTTTTGGGATTTTTATGTAGGCTTTTTTTTGGCAATTTTACAGTCGGTGGCTATTTTTATTGCTTCCTTTTCGCGTAAGTATGAGAGACAGTCCCGTGCGCTGGCTGGGTGGTGGTCGTCGCTAGGCGAGTTGGCGAATTTTGTACATTTTATTGGGTCGCAGATTAATGGATGTTCTTCAGGTGTCCCAGGTTTTTCTTTGTTGCATTGTCCGCGAATTGGAGTAGTGATTTTGCAATGCTTATATTTGTGTCCAAGTTTTTGGCACATACTGCACCTCATGGGTGCCGTGTAGTATTTTCCTACTGGTTTTATAAGGAAACCCACCCTGATTTCCTTCGGTGATTCAAGGCATTCGAAGCCTGGATCAAACCTGAGTACACTTCCTTTGTGCATCTATCAACGTCTGCCCTTTTTTTTGTATCGACAGATTTTTGAAATGTTATTTTTTCCTTGAGTTTCTGGAGCACTTCCTCATCAGACATTAAGATTAAATCGCTGCAGAAGAAAGTTCCTTTGCAAGTGTTGACACCTTCATTATGTTCTGCTGTGATTGGTATGTCACCTTCAAGTGAACGAAGGGACTCGAACCTATTTTGTCCTACCACGTCTATTACACTCCTTTGTTAAACTTGTTTTCGAATACACAAGACCCAAATTTATATTAGAATAAGTACGGACAATATTAGTATTGCGACTTGCTAATTTATTATCTTTCTTGACGTTTATCTATTTATTTTGCGAGATTTTATTTATTTTGGTTTAGATAGTTGATTCCAATTAAGATTTTTAACTCCCAAGTTTGACGTTGTCAAAATGTCTTGTTATTATTAAGTTTCATATTGTTCAAAAATTGGAAACCAATTTTGACGTTGTCAAAAAGGATCCCCATTGAACCCCTTTCAAAAAAAAGTGCAAAAAAATATTTAAAATTTTGTGTCGAACGTATCTTTAATTATGAATAAGGATTATTTTTATTGTTTTTATTCAAAATAATTAAATTATTTTGGGTTTCAAACACTAATATGACAGTATTTTTAATGAATTACTCGTGTTTTGGTAAAGTTTCAAATGTTTTTATGTGTTTTGGCACTTTTTATAATATTTCATTTGTAGATAGAAAAGTTCTTGTAAGTCACCAGCACAGTGGTAACTGGTGCCGCGGCACACTTTTATTCAATACAATTCTGTACTATGCCAGGGATTTTGCCTGTAACATAAAATTAAATATTAACCGCCCGATTGAGAATTATTGTTTTATAAGCAATTAATACTGTAAAATTAACATGATTTTTTTTTATTAGCAGGTCTTTTCGTTTTAAGTTAACACGATAGACTGTAAATTCGGAACCATGTTTATAAATGGGGAGCCATGCAACATAGAGTAAGAGTAGAGTAGCCATCTACTACAGATATTATTTGCCATCTAATGCGAAACACCCTGTTTCATTGATAATGCTTAAAAGTATAAGTACTTACTGCTAAATATTCTAAAGCTGTTCGACTAATACCACTAGTAGGATCAGTCATATTACCAAATTCTTGTTCAAATGATTCGTTGTTAATTGAAGCTTCACTAATCGTTTTATTTTCCCTAGCTAATGATGATGCACCTAAAGTTGTTGCTCTATGACGTGGACTATTTGCTGGTGTGCTATTTTCTGAACTATAATCAGCTGCATAATCCGTACTTTCTAAAAAATCATTCGGTGATTTACGACCTAAACGCTCTCGACTGCGTGCTCTTGACCATTTATTTCGTAACGTACTGAAAAATCCATGAGTTTTTGCTATAACCCCTGTGGATGTGGCAGCTGCGCTTTTGGCACGTTGTGGTGAGCTTGTGGGTGAATCTACATTACACTCATGTCCATTTAACTCGGAAGCTGATTTACTTAAATGCCGTGTTATATCATTTAGGCGGGATCGTTCTATTGTAAATTGAAGAAAAAATATTTATAGAATTAATTTCAAAAAACGTTCAATATTTTACGGTAAATATCAAATGGAAGAAAAAATTTTAAATTCACAGTAAATAATATAATATCCAGAAGCCTATTATTTTATGCTTTTTTTGACGTTTATATGTCTTACATAATATTGTTTTGGCAGATTGAATTCAGTCTCCTAACAAAGCCAACATTACGTTTGCAGACATCAGCATTTCAAATAGAAAAATAAAAAATCGATGCTGGTATGAACCCGGAATTTTTTTTTACAATATATGGAACACATATATTGTAAAAAAAAATTCACATGGAATATGCAGGGGACGTGTTCCATATATTGTTTATAATTCCTGCAGCCTGTGTTTAAACGTGTTTATAATTCCTGCAGCCTCAATTTTTTCAAATTTCGCAAAGTAAAAGTTTTTCGGTGAAAAAATAATAGAATATGTAATCGAACACTTTTAAATGGGGGATCTTTTAGGACATATGTATATAAAATAATATAGCTTTAGGACATACTGTAAAATAAAAATTTCTAAAATATAAATGATTAGTTTTGTAATTATTATTATTCATAAAATAATAATAAAGCTAAATAAAACAATTTTTGTGTTATTTTAAAATACGAATTTTAATTTTGTTTTATTCTTTTTGTTTTGTTAATAATAAAAATATTTTTTATTTTCTATTTTTAAGATTAAACGAAGCAAAATATAAAACTTGCATCTCTAGCTGACAGCCCTTTGATCTGCCCTCTGTACACCCATGGGTATATTAAGGTTTGCAGACAATACTAGTGCATGTGATAAATGCGGATATTGTGTATTGCAAACAAAATATATTATATAATACGTTTATATATATATACATATTATGTAATATAAATGTCATTTGGGAAATCAACTTTCTATAATAATGTTTTCCCTATTCTAAAATAATGTTTTACTAAAAATTCTAAAATAATGTGTTTTTTCATATGAACAATAAAATTTTTATCAGAAGTAGTCAGTTGATATTTGATTGCTTTTAAACTTATCCTCGTACAATCAATTCTTATAAACATTAAATTGATATTTAGATATTTAAATATTAAAAATTTAACAAAAACAAATGTTTTCAGTAAGCCTTAAAAGTTTTAACCGTTTCGATTTATTTAACCAGTATTTAAGAATTCGTGCGAAATGCGACAATAAATTAAGTCAAGAGTAACACCAATACTTGTTTAATTCTATCGTACACATAGTTTTCTAAAAAATCCAATTTTGAATTAAATAAGAAAAATTGAGTTGACCGTATCAACTCTGTAATACCCGTACGAATTTGTTGTGACAGACTATATAATTATTATTCAATTGAAAAACTTTGAGTGGTATGCACATAACCGCAATGTATATTGTTTAGTTTAATGAAAGTGATACAGAAGATTATGAAATTTGTTTACATCTTTAGAATTTGAAGGACACTAGTAAGCTTTTAGTTAAAATATCTAGAAAAAATGTAAATTTGGTTTTTAGTAGAATTTCACTTTGTCCCATTTGAATTCGGGGTGATATTGATATTCTTCCAGTTCGTTTTGGTTATTTTGCAGATTGTTAGTATTTGTTCGACCGTGTATGGGATTCCGCATGTTGTGCGCATTAGTCTGTTCGCGCCCGTAAAGTGATGTCCATGGTAGAACATAGTACATCCCAGGCGGAGCCTTGTAATATTGACCCCGGAGTGGCGCTTCGTGTCTATTGTGATTCATATATCCGCAACTTTTTTGGGTATTTGCGCGGTAATTGTTCTTACTTGTTGCCAGTTTCTTTGGGCGTTTGCCGCGTTCATGATTTTGAGTTGTCGAGTAGAGTGTGTAAGGATGGCTGGTATGTCTGAAAAAGTTTGTGCCCTGATGGCCCTTCTGGCCTTCGTATCCGCTAGCTCGTTGCCGGCTATATCAACATGCCTACGCCACTCTGATCTCGCCTCTACCTTCGTACAACAAGGTTCTTCTTTTGCGAGCCGTATTGGATTGGTTGTGTTTTTGATCTGCTTTAAGGCTGCTAAGTTGTCGGTCCATATTATGGTTTTCTGTTTTGTTTCATTTACCCATTTCACGGCTCGAAGTAACGTTTCACGCTCCCCTTCAAATATTGATGTCGTTGCAGGTAAGTTGTAGAATTCATGATGTTAGTTTTATATTGCTACGCCTAACTCCAGGTCGCTTTTAGATGCGTCGGTATATATATTATTATGGCAGTGATGGCGTTCTTGTAATTCCCTGTGCAGCTGTAGATAGGCGTTATTGCTAGTGGCCGATTTGTTGTGTGTGGTTAGGGTGGTGTCAATATAATTTATATACACTTGAGGTGGTTCCTGGGCTTGATTGTTTGGTTCGAGCTCTACCTGCAGTGCTTTTAAGTTCTTAGTTGAAAGGACCAACGCGGCACCTTCTGGGTGTGTTTCATTTTCCAGTACTCCATGAATTGTTCTGTTGTGCGCGTGGTTCGGGTTGTGGTAAGTCTTAAGCAAAGTATATCTATTAATAAGTAGTTCGACTCTCCGTTTACATCACAATAATGCAATCACTCACCAATATTTGTATACAAAAAATTCCCTTAGCTAAGAGTTAATATCTTCTTATTTTCATTTTTATACACATAAGAATTTTTGGGAGAGGGAAAGAGTACGCAATAGATGTCTACCTGTTTTTTTATAATGTATTTTTAAAAGCGGGAGTAATTTATTTTGCCCTGTATAAAGTATAGGAAAAAATAATAAGAATTTTAAAGGCGGGAGTTTTATTTTTGTAACTTATTCCAGTACAAGGTGGCAAAAAAGGTGTATTCATATTATAAACGCGAAGCGGAAAAAAGTGTTTAAAAAAAATTATTATAATTTATATAATATAATTTTGAAAAATAATGAAAATAAATTTTAAAAAGACGTATAATATTAAAAAAAATTTTAAATAGTTTTGAAAAAAAAATATTTTTCAGTTTTTTATAAACCATCCAAGAATTTCATGTATAATTTAAAGAATTTAGAAAACACTTTTATTGAACTTTTTAATGATATTTGTACAGAAAAAAATTTAGAATATAAAACACAATGAATAAATGAATAATTCATTTAATGTATATGAGCACTTAAAAAAAAATTTCAACTATGAATGTTGTGAGAAGACAAAACATGTTTCATTAAACTGTATATTAGAATTGGAATGTACTACATAATAAAAAGTTTTAATAAAACTATAAAACAATTTGATATAAAACAAAAAATTTTTAGTGTTAAGCATTTGTAATTAATATTTATTAATAAATAAAATAAAGAAATTATCTTTAAATTTTAATTTTTATTTCAATCTTAATAAATTTAGAACATATTTCCCATGAACCGGTAATAATTATATTTCATTAAATATTAATCAGTATGCATACAATTTTTTTATAAATTACTTTATTTCTATGTCACAACCTGATACTGTGTATCTACTGTACCAGGAACATACATGTGTACATTCATACATGAAATTTCAAACTCTTTTGCTTTCATACATTCGAACTTTTTACCTAATTTTGATAAAATGAAAAATAAATTGTTATTATCATTAATAATATAATAATAATTTCAAAGACAATAATAATATAATATTAATTTCATTTTTGATAACCTTTTCCATTACAATATATTTAATTCGCATCGCATCGAAATAAAAAAGATAACACAAATTTTCGAAAAATTTGTATTTTTTTTAAAGAAAATTAAAAAAAAAAAACAAAAAATGTGGCTTCCACGAGTAAGAGCAAAAAATCTGACTTAATTGTAAGAGCAATAAATTATCTGTAAAACAAGCCTCCGATGGTTATTCTATAAAGCATGGTTCCAAAACTGTAAACATTTATTTATATACAAAAAAAAACAAGTATCTTTTTGAACAGACTGTAGCTCGAACCACCCCTCCCTATACGTTTTTTCTGGATATTGATTAAATCGCCGCCTTTTGCGAAACACCCTGTATACAGAGAAATAATCTGCCGAATTACTTGAAAGTTAATATTTAAAAGTGAGTAAAATATCAGGTCTCGGAAACCAAACTAAGGATCGATATCACTTGTTTTATCATATCTATGGAACTATGATTGAGGGAGTTTCTTTAAGTTAAATATTTGAGTTACCGAAAGTAACTGAGACTAACTTTTCACATGGGATAATGTGAACCTCTTCTAAAGGGCAAATTAACTTTTTTAACTTTGTAACTTACTATTTTCAATACTTAAGAACATGTTATTAGTTTTAGAAACAAAAATTGGAGTTGAATTCGATTCCTTATAACATAAACTCTTTCTTCCATTCATATCAAACAAAAAAGAAAAATAATAACAAATATTCGATCTCAATTTTCTTTTTAAACTTTTTATACGAAATAAACATATATTGCAAATATATTCATTTTGAAATACATCTACAAACATAATATTTGTAACGTTATCATTGATATTGATTTTTATATTATTACACCTACAATAAAAAAATGTACAAAAATAATGTACTTAAAAAAATGAATGATTCATAAAAGTTATTGCGAAAAGTTTTACGTAAACTGCTTATTAATATTAAAGATTTATCGAATTATCTTAAGGATTAGATTTGTTTGCCATACTATATTCTACCAAGATATGAATATACTTGTAGATGGTTAAATACCTATCAAGATAAATCATCTTTAAGTATTTTAGACATCAATCATCTAGCTACAACCTTCCGAAGTTATCATTCTATTGGAAGTTACCAACAGAAAACGTGTAACCTTTGATCAAAAATACTTTTGATGTTGGTTTCAGGCTGATGGTTTCAGAACCATCAAATTTTATTTCAATTTCAACATGAATTTTGTATTGTACTATGCACAATATTTATGCAAATCCTGGGCTTTATCAGATTAAATCAATTAAACATTTACACTTCGTTCATAATTCATTTATACTTAAATTTTTATA